TTAATTTGCTTGAGAGCCATTCGGAGATGTTTCAAAGCGGTTGAAGTAGCCATAGTTATCTGTGGAATCAGTGACAACGAAATAATGGGAATTCAGAATATATATAAACAAGGATGAAGCGATGCAAACGCCACCAAACTCCAGAGAAAGTTGTATCTGTTCATTAGTTTTCGACTTATTCTCTTCCCTAGATGATAAGAGAAGAAATTGATTGTTTCAATGCAATTAAATAAATTAAACGAGTACCTCTTATCGATACGGTGTCATTTCTCTCGATGAGGAATCGATGAGGATTTTTTTAAAAAAAAAAAAAAAAAATTAACATATACTCTTTATAAACAATTACAATCATTGATATGACAATTAAAACACCCAGCATTGGGGGTTACACACACCCTCTACTTTACCATCAGTTCTCTGGTTCGAGCACCCAAAACATTTTTTATAAATCTTTTTAAAAGACATTTTAGAAAAAATAATCCATCATGTTCGACAAAACACAATTGGGCTTTCAGCATCGTTCATATTATAGTTTATAATCCACAAGAGCGTCTTATATTTTCTGGGTCCGTGTTTGGGCCTGCATCATAACCAGAGCAATAAAAAATAACTAAAGTGTATTCTCTTTATAAGCAATTACACTAGAGGCTATGACAATTAAAACACCACAGCCTTGGGGATTCCACACGCCCTCTACTTTACCATCAGTTCTCTGGTTCAAGCACTTAAAACATATTTTATAAATATTTGAAAACTTATTTTAAATCTTTTATAAATTACACCACAAAATTTATAATGGTTTAAAAGGTAATTTATAAGTCTTTTTAAAAGACATTTTAGAAAAAATAATCCATCATATTCGACAAAACACAATTGGGCTTTCAGCATCGATTTTATTATAATTTACAATCCACAAGAGCGTCTTAGATTTTTTGGTCCTGTGTTTGGGCCTGCATCATAACCAGAGTAATAAAAAATAACTAAAGTGTATTCTATATATAAGCAATTACACTAGAGGCTATGGTAATTAAAACATCACAGCCTTGTGGGTTATACACGCCCTTTACTGTACCATCAATACACTGGTTCGAGCAAAATGGGGTTCACACAATTCTAATTCGTAGCAATCCCTGTCCGATCAATCTAATATGATGTCCAATTCAAATTCTAGTTTTACCTGTCTGGTTATTACAGTCCCTGGTGTTTGGAGGTTAAAAAACCAATCACTATTTACTTCATGTCCAAGAAAATATTTCAAGATCCTACATTACAAAAGATATTTGTAAATCTCTCCATATTACTAAGCTAAACATATATGAAAACTTTACTTACTTCGGGTTTGTTGCATTCTTTCCATTCATCCAATCTTGCTTTCCTTGATAGAAGATATGACTGGAATGGGTGGAATATTGGATGAGCTCCACCTTGTTGCAACTGAATGGTAATATCTTCATCCGTCAGTGGTGGTCGCAAAGCAATACCTTCGCAAAATCCATGTCGGTTGGAATCGTGACTTTCATCATCTTCACCAACGCGACCTTCATCATCTTCAAGAATTTCTTTGTTGGCATCATCACCTTCATCATCTTTGGGATTTTCTGTACAACAAAACAAGAACAAATTTGCGTGTTTTTTAAGTTGGTTTAAAAAAATAACATATTCACATAACATAAATTATTATTACCGACAACAATATTGGTAGCCTCACCGTCACCACCATGATCTTTATCAATATCGTCAACAACATGTGTATCCTCAACATTGCCAGTATGATCTCCATCATTACCATTTGTATCATCTTTATCCTCACCATGATCTTCAACATTATCTTCCGTATCGCTAATATCAATAACATCATCTTCATGATCTTTTGCAGCATTGTTATCCTGACCATCTTCAGGATCTTTTCCATCATTGTTATCCTCACCATCTTCAGGATCTTTTGCATCATTGTTAACCATCTACAGGATCGTTTTCCTATAAATCATAAAACATATTGTCAAAGCCCCGAAAAGTAACTGAACATTTAAAACGGGTTTAATAAATGCTTTTTTTACCTATGCTGCTTTAATCCCCACAAAAGCCTCTATGGTCTCCACTTTGCCAATTAAGGTTTTAAGCATCTCCATCATCTTGTCAATTTTGTCACTGTTAGTCATAAGAGGAGCCTCACGTATTGTTCTACTACGCTCTGCTCGTCTGTTATGTTGTGTCCGTATTTGTTCAGATGCTAAAACACCATCTACTTTTCCCTCTATCCACTCGGACCTGCTTAACCTATAGCCTTGCATTTCAAGTTGCACCACCGTTGCAAAGTCTTTGTCAATGGGATCTGTTGGTGGAACCAATTTTTTATATTCCTCTGGATCCCCAGCAACAGTATTGATTATAACCTGCAATCGCATAACAAATACATTTATATGATTTTAATTAAACCAAAGTAAGCAATATTAAAAAATCCCACAATATGAAACTTACATCCCATTGATTGTGCACATCGTAAACTTCTGAAATCCTGGGTTACCGAGTGGCTTTCCACTGTAAACACAATAGGCTAGCAGACGAGTTTGAATCAAATCGACTCCTAAATGTAGTACCTAGCGCAGGCACATCCGACAAAGCCCACAACGTGATTGCCCATGTGAATCCTTGCACTTCATACAGAGGTTTTGCAAATGTTTTTGCTTTAACCCTGCGTGTACTAACAGATAGGACCTCATATCCCATCTTCCCCCAAGGTCTTGCAGAGTATATATCGAAATTCAAAAACATTTGCAGACTCTCTCGCGGTACCTTTATCGTTGGACTCTTGGCGATTATAATCCCAAGAGTCAAGGTAGCAGCTCCAAGAGAAAGTTTCTCCTCAACAGATATAGTTTTCGCTCTAGTTTCCAGCAGCTCCAGCAAATCTTTCACAGTGTACTTATCCTTTCTCCCCAACATCCAACCATATACCTTTTTCACCAGCCTATGTGTTGGGTTTTGTTAGGGACTGAGTTCTTCTGGTTCTGGCTCACAAATACGTAATCATGTGGTTAGATAAAACTCTCTTAATGAAAATCTCATCGGCTGGTCTGCAAATGCAAACCACAAGTCTTCTCCTTATGTCAAAATTCTTCTTTGCATCAGGAAGTGGAAGATCTTTCCATAAAACTGAATGTCCTCTCTCCTTGCGAGTTTCACAATCAGGCTGAGATAAGATTTTTTGATTATGGCGAACAGTGTTTTTCCTAACACTTTTTCGACTTTTTGCACCAAATTGAAGCTCGAATGTTGCATGATTACACCTAGTTTGTCTGATTCAGTCCCAGAATTATATATCCTTGGTTTGTCTGGTTCAGTCCCCGACTTATATATCCTTGGAGGTAATTTCAGTGTCGTATGGACTTCATCTTCCATCATTTGCAAAAGTTTTATAAAAGCAATATCAAAGCAAATGGAATAATATAAAGGAATCATATTCTATTAGAACCAAACTTTGTTTGCTTAATCAATCACTTCAAAAGGATTCTACACACTAAACTGTTAACCAATTGAAACATATGAAAAAAAAACCCCAACATTTTTTTGCGACTAAAAACTTCATTTTTTAATTTACCCAGAACTGAAAACCGAGCAAATTGGCGCAAAATTGGTGTACATATATTCATAAAGCCTTATAATTTGTTATAAATATGTGCTCACAATACAATAAACTTAAATCTCAACTACGAAACTAGGTTTTCGGGGAAAGAGAGAGAGGGAGAAGGAGCGAAAGACAGATAAAAATAGAGCGCAAAAGATTGAGAGTGAGAGTGAGAGGGAGACTAAGAGCGATAGATTAAATCTTTGTAGATTTTTACAGATTATCCGAGATACGTTTGGCGAAGAAGGGGAAAAGTTTTGGCTTTTTCTTACTTTTGGCAAAGAAGTTAAGCCGTACATACATACGATGGGATGTTGGGGTTTCTGATAAGGAATTAAAAATCTTTATAAATAATATTTATAAGATTTTGGATTTGTTTGGGCCAGTGTTTGGGCCTACATTTTAACGAGAGTAATAAAAAATAACTAAAGTGTATTCTCTTTATATACAATTACACTCGAGATATTAACAATTAAAACATTAGTGCTTTGGGGGTTACACACACCCTCTTCATAACCAACAGTACCCTGGTTCAAGACCCAAATATTTTTTATAAACAACTTTTAAATCTTTTTGAAATCTCAACACAGAATTTATAAAGATTTAGAAGGTATTTTTTAAATCTTTAATAATGCCCAAGACCAAACTGAAACACCAATATTTTGTGTCGTTTGAATGGCATAATAATCCATACAAAATCCAAAAATATTCTTACAAACATTTTTATGAGCCCGTGTTTGGGCCTACATTTTAACCACAACAATTTCAAATAACTAAATCATATTCTTTTTTATAAACAATTGCACTCATGGTTTTGACAATTAAAACACCACAGCCTTGGGGGTTACACATGTCCTCTTCATTACTATCAACACCCTGGTTCAATCAACCTAAGTCTCGAGTGTTTAAAAATCTCGAAATATTTTTTATAAACATTTTAAAACATCTTTTAAATCTCAATAAAAATTTTATTAATCTTTATAAATGGTTTTTATGGGCCCGTGTTTGGACCTACATTTTAAACAGTACAATTACAAATAACTAAATCATATTTTCTTTATTAACAATTACACTCATGGTTTTGACAATTAAAACACCACAGCCATGGGGGGTTACACATGCCCTCTTCAATACTATCAACACCTTGGTTTGAGCAACCTGGGTCTCAGAGTGTTCAAAAATCTCAAAATATTTTTTATAAACATTTTAAAACATCTTTTAAATCTCAACAAAATTTTTTTAAATCTTTATACATCTTTATAAATCAATTTTGGATTTTCTTGGGATTGTGTTTGGGCCTATATTTTAAACAATATAATTACAAATAACTAAATCATATTCTCTATATAAACAGTTACGCTCGAATCATTGGCAATTAAAACATCACAGCCTTGAGGGTTACACACGCCCTCTTCATTACTATCAGTACTCTGGTTCGAGCAACCTGGGTTTCACATAATTCTAATTCATAGCACTCGAGGGTGCTGCGGGTGGTTCGGAACCCCAAAACGTTTTTTATAACCAATGTTTTTTGTGTCGTTTGAGTGGCATAATGATCCAAACACCATCAAATTTACCCACACTGAAGCAATGACGACTGGACTCTTTTAACCATAAATTTCAATATTGCAGTCCACCATAATAAAAAAAAAATTAAACTAACGATTTGAAACAAGAAAGGGAATGTTTCTTCTCCGCTCCTCTGTGCATCCTTGCTCCATCTCCTGCCCATATACACAACTAGATCTACAACGTAAGATTTTTTTGTGGAATGCTTTACAAAAGATCATATTCTCGTTTTTTACCTGACTTGGCAAAACTACGGTGCTAATAACTTTGAGAAGATATCAGCAGCAAGCTTCATTCTTATATCCCCGATGTTTTCTTCAGAAAGTGTCGTCAAGTCCTTGATGCGCATCGAGTGGCACTCTATTAATTTCAACACGAAAACGCATGTGTCTGCTATTTTAGCAACCTGATACAAAAGGAGAAGACAAACAAATGTAACGTTCTTTTCAAAAGTTTATGGAAACATGATGACAATTATTTTCAAACAAGCACTTAACCTGTGGTACTTCTTTTGACTCTATTTGTATAGTGAATGGAGAGGTAGCCATCGTGTCATCCTGAGTAATTTGGCGAATGATGTAAGGAGTTGTGTGTGCATACGCACCAATGTATGTAATGACCTGTTCTTCCGAAATCTTTGATGTTGCACAGTTCAGCACGGTTATCTTTCTCTTCTCAAGATTAATGATCAATGTAATCCAGCATTTATACTTGATCCTCAACGGTGTGTAGATAATGCATATGTTTTTCTCTATGCCATGACTGGTGAATTCAGTCCCGAATTGAAACTCATCCTTGTCATCTGCAAAAATATCATAAATCTCGTCTATTGCTTTCATGAATGATTCACCAACTATCAAAGCACTTTTGTTCAAAAACAAAAGCGGATTTTGTTTCTTTCGCATCCTCAATAACTCCAAAGCTGCTTCCATATGCTATAAGACAAAAACAGACAATTTTAAGATGTTCCAAATTTTAAGAAATTTTTTTTTTCGCAGGACTAAAATGTCTATAAACTTACCGCTTTCGTAAAAACATTTCCTGCTGTCTCCAGCGTGGTAATCCACTTCAGATCTACGGTGATGTCATTAATTTTCAGTAGCCTGCATTAAGAATAGACAGTAATTGTTACAAATATGACATCACATTTTTTATATAGCTAACGAAAACTCTAGTTACAAATTTGACTGTTTTCATTCCTTTATTTTCTCTATTCGCATCTGATCAACCGGCTCAAAATGATGAATTAATGGATGTCTTTTCCTTGCTCATGTGTAAGGTGGTTGTGTAAGAATCAAATGCACTTATCCTCTCTGGCTTCTTCTTGTTGGCACTCCATCTGCATGACGTTTCCTAGCTGCTTTATGTTTCTTCTATTTAGATATTGGTTCAAGTTTCTAAAATGCAAAAACCATTTCAATGTTTAAAAAGTTAGACAGTTAACTTGTAACTTAATCATATTATACAGGGAACCAACTCATTTACCTCTGTGTATCCTTTTGCAGCTCGTTTCTTATTTTTTGTCACACTTTGTAAATCTAATAAACCTCTTTGAGAATTTATTACATTTTCTTCAATACCCTAGTCAAAATTGAGATTTTTCAAAACTTTAGCATCAGCAATACTAGTTTCAAAATTTTCTTGTTATGCTTGTATAAATCCCAGAAAGTTTTTGGTAAAAAGTCTTCAATTACCTCCTCATTGTCTTTGTCATCAGCTCTTTGTCTGCTAGTATAACCTCCATTGTCTTTATTTATGCTGTTTTGTAAACTGTCTTGGGAAAGAAGATTGAATCTTAGTGTAATAGGCGATGAAACCATAACAAGAAAGATGAGATATAACACTCTATTTATTAATGAAACACAAGCTTAAGTTTTAAAAATATAACATGAAGTATCTACTTTACCTTATGGTTTTTTTTTCTCACCACAATCTACAGTTGTCATACGAGATATATCATTGTTACAGCCATTTGAAGCTTCATCGTCGCCAAGTTTTTGGATACTTACAACAATAACTTCTGTATCTTCATTGTATCCAACAGAAAAACAGAAACTAACAAGGATTATAAGAAATTAGTTTTTGGATTCAAACAAGGAGTAAAGATGAATCATCTTTATCTTCAACAACGGTTGTAGCTTCCTCATCGCCAAGATCTTTTCAACCATAAATTCTGTTTCTTCATCGCCAATACCAACAGAACTAGCATCTTTACCATTACATCCACTAACAAAATCAGTTGTTTCCTCAACAACACCATGTTTTGTGTATTATCGTCATTGGCAGCATAACTGTCATTTGAATTTGCTTTACGCCGAGAATCATCTGACTATGTATCATTGCAAATATATTTATGCACGCCATCTTTAGAAACATTTTTATTTTCCTATAAAAAAAAATCAAACAATGCTCTATCGTCACAGTCCCAAAATTAAATTAATTTAGGATATTTTAAAATATCTTTTTAAATATTTGTATACTGTCAATTTTTACCTCTGATCCCTTGCCATCTGCTTCTTTTTCTTCTGGAATCCCTAAGACTTGCCGGATGATCTTCACTTTTCTGGTCAAGATCTCAACCATATTGAGTATCTTGTCAAGTTTTACATAGTCAGTAAAAGGAGGAGGCTCAGTGGTTGTTCTAGGCTCTGCGTTTCTTGCATGCTGTGTCAATATGTATTCAGATGCAGTAACAACATCTAACATGCCGCTTATCCAGTCGGCTCTCCTCAATCAATAGCCTTGCTTGACTAGTTGCACAACCGCTGCAAAGTCTTTTTCAATAGGATTTGTTGGTGGAACCAGATTCTTATATTCCTCTGGATCTCCAACAATAGTATTGACTACAACCTGCAAACACATAGCAAATAAATTTTTTGTAAAGCTTTATTAATGCATCAAAAATAGTATCTACAATCAAATAAATTGAGAATCACTTACAATACTTATCTGCTCAAAACGCAAAACTTCTGAAATCCTGGTAGTCCGAGTGGCTTTTCGCCGTAAAAACAACGGGCCTGCAGACGAGCTTGAATCAAATCAACTCCCAAATGAAGTACCTAGGGCAGGCACAGTCGACAAAGCCCACAACGCGATTGCCCATATGAATCCTTGAACTTCATACTGACTTTTTGCAAATATTTTTGCTTGCATCCTGCGTATACTAGCAGATAGGACCTTGTATCCCATCTTCCCCTAAGGATGCAAAGAGTAAGTATCAAAATTCAAAACATTTGCAAACTCTCTCGCGATACCTTTACCGTTGGATTCTTAGAGATTATAATCCCATAAGTCAAGATTGCAGCTCCAAGAGAAAGTTTCTCCTCAACAGACATTCTGTTCGCATTTTCTTCCAGCAGATTCATCAAATCTTTCACCGTGTACTTATCTGTCTGTCCTTGCATCCACAAATATGGTTTTTTCACCTTCTCGTGTGATGGTCTTGTTGTTTGGTTTGGGTTCTCCTCTGGGTCACAACAACGCAAGCCTGTGGTTGGGAAATATTCCCTGATTGAAAATCTCATCGGCTGGTCTGCAAATGCAAACCACATGTCTTCTCCTTGTGTCAAAATTCTTCTTTGCATCAAGAAGTGGAAGATCTTTCCAGAAAACCGAATGTCCTCTCTCCTTGCGAGTTTGACAATCAAGCTGAGATAAGAGCTTTCGATCATACGCAACTCCCAATCTCTTAACAACTTTGTGACTTTATCCACATAGAGTAGGTTCGAATGTTGCAGGACTACAATGGTGTTCTTTTGTTCAGTCCCAGATTCATATATACGTGGAAGAAATTTCAGTGTTGTATCGAATTCTTCATCCATCATCTGCAAAGTTATACAATAACAATCTTTTTAAATCAAAATCTGAAGTACATTCCATACATATTGAAATCTACTTGAACCATTGTTTAATCATTCAAATGTAATTTAAACACAACAGTGTTATCTATTCGAAACAAGATGCACAAAAACACCCAGAATCAAAAACAAAGCAACAACGGCAAAATTTGGCTAAATGATATTCATATGATCTTTTCAAAACCGGTGAAATGATAGAAAACTGGGGAGAGAGAGAGAGAGAGGGAGAGAGAGAGAGAGAGAGAGAGAGAGAGAGATTTGTAAAGGCTTAGAAATCTTTATAAATCGGCAACCACAAAGGAGTTAGTGAAACAAATCGGAATTGCAACAAAAACAAATTGGTGATTCATAATTCACGAATCACATATCTTCCAAAATCGGTAACTACAGCGAAACAAATCACAAATTTAACAAAGACAAATTCGTGATTCACAAATCGTAAATCACAATTTTTTCAAAATCGTAACCACAATGTATTTAGCGGAACAAATCACAATTTAAATGAAACAAAATAACGAATCACATACCTTTTTCCGATCAAAACAAATCAGAATTTTCCGATCACGATTCACAGATCAATTTTTTGCCAACTCTCTCTCTCTCTCTCTCTCTCTCTTTCTCTCTCTCTCTCTCTCTCGACTCGCAACGAAAAGTATTGCTACTTTTGGGTTCTAATGACCTACAGATAATTTCGTCATTTCAATAGTTAAATAATTGTATTTATAAAAATGTCCAGCGTGTTGTAGTATTATTGAATAGTGGTACAATGAAAGGTGTAGTTTTAAAAAATTTCTTTAAATTTTTTACCAAGTTATATTTTTGTAATTAAAGTTTTATAATATTTATGTTTTTAATCAAACTAAAATATTTAGAATATTATATTTCTGAAAACATTAAAGTATTTTAAATATTACGAATTTTTATATAATATTTGTACATTTTTATGAAATTTAATAATTTATATCATTTGATTAATTTAAATGGTTCTATAAAAAACGAAATTAAACAAAAAAAATATTTATAAATATAGATATCTATTATATTAATCTTCGTGCTTTTACCATTTTTTATTATTTTTTTAATAATAATAATCTATAAACTATATACACATATTTATTTTTAATGTGAGACTTTTAAAGAATACTCATATTTATTTATCATTTGAATAACTTTTTGTCTTTAATTCAAATTATAACACATATAAAAAAAAAGTTAAACTATATGAATGATGTGATGTTTTATTTGTTTTTACAAAAATGCATTTAGATAAAATTAAAAATAAATAAATAATATAATATATTTTTAATAAGTAATAGAAGAAAAATGTCTTCATAAAATAAATGTTAATTTATGTATAAATATAAACTATTGTTTGACTAAATTAATTTAAGTGATATAAATTGAATTATTACCGAAAGAATTTTGCATAACATAGAATATTTGGGACTTGGTGGCCAATATACTCATGAGACTTACTGACCAAGCTATTTCTAAATTTTACTGACTAAATTACTTATAAGACCTGCAACAAGCTACTCCTCTACTACAAATCAAGATGACACCTCATTTATCATCTTCACTCTGGAATCAAAACAGAAATATAATTTTCAGCAAATTCCTCTAATACCTTCTTCTCTAATGTAAGTATTTTGAGAGTATATCATAACTATTTGAGTTTGCATATTTTATAATTGAGTGCTGCGATCATTATTCTAATATTAACAATCGAAATAATTTATAAATTTAAAAAATACATTTAATTTTGTCTTATATTAATTTGTCAATTTTCTTAAATAATTTAAATCTGTTTTATCATTTCAATTTATCAATTTTAATTGTTTTGATTTATTATTTTTAATTTGAATTTTCATATCCTTAAAATTAGTTTCCTTGAAACTAATTTTGTTCGCATGAAAAGCTCACATGACATCATCACTCACCGAACTATTTTTTTTTCTTTTGTACCATTTGTTATTTACACAAGAAAATAATTAAATTTAACAAAAATTTAATTATTAAATGATGAAATTCGAACTATTAGAAACACACTATTTTAGACTGAAAATGAACGCATTTGATTAAATCTAATTAGATTTGGTACTTGAATCCCATATATCATTGTACATCCTTGACCTCCAATCATTATTGTTTGTAGATATTTATAAAGATTTTCGAGTATGTTTAGTTGTGTTTACAATTTAACACTCAATGTCTTTATATATATATACATTTTTTTGTTCAGCAACTGTTATAATTTTTTCTACCATTTTCTTTCAATGTTTCTACCATTTATTTTCTGATTTCCTACCACTTTCCTACCAGAATAAAAAATGCAACGAATATATTTTCAAACGGTCATTGTGTGTAATGGTCATTAAATTTCCTACAGCATTCCTTCCACTAACTGACAAATATATTTTCGTAGAAATCTGGTAGGAAATTACTGACGACATTTCTATTATTGTGTTTGTCAAAGATTATTTATTGATTTTTTACCATTTATCTACCAGATTTCCTACGCATTTTAATTTCATAGAAAACTGGAAAATAACATCTGACCGTTATCTGACCATTTATATTTGTAGAAAATTTCCTACCATTATCCTTCCAATTATATTTTTGGTCGTAACTCTGTAGGAAATTTATAAAAAATATTTTCTACCAAACGTTTTGTAGAAAAATTTGTAGAAATTAGCTATGTTTTCTTGTAGTGTAACACCATCCAACAAAAACAAATTACTCAACTTATGAATTTAATGTAATTTAAAAGAATTGATGTTTCTGTTTAATTCTACTGTTGTTTGATTATGAATTTTATGATTTTTTTTAAATTTCTAATATATTAATTGAAAAATATTTTTAGTGAATAGCCTCATTTTGTAAGTATTTACAGTGATGTCATTATGCTGATGTGTTAACTCCATATTCATTCTCAACTAATTTTTTTAAAAAAACTTAGATTACTAGACTAATTACATAATATGTCTGTTGGGATCCATTTTATCGGGTCAAGAGAGCCCGACACGTGGACCTAGACTGCACGAAACGCTGACACACGCCACGATAGCGCAGCCGACCCACTCTTGTAAACTGTTCCGGGGTAGTTGGTGAACTTCCCAAGCACGCTAGAATCATTACCTTCACCTGCCTCCCTTGCATGCAGAGTAGAAAAGACAGGACGAGGAGGCCGCGAGTATAAATAAGGGGAGATCGACTGGTCGGAGGAGTAAAACCCCTTTATAGGAGGAGGTATCTGCCTATATCCGAGCCAGTCGGCCCGACCAAACAGCATGACCGCGGGTGAACTTCATGTTCTTCTCGGGTGAATGCCTATCAGGTTTAGTCATTCCTGTCCTGGAACCTTCCATTTATATTCGCCACGTCTACCTTTATCGTGTAGAAACCCCTCTGAATCACCCGAAAACAGATAGAAGCCTCGATCCTCGGACGAGACTTCTTACGACAAACCCGTATGAATCTCTCCTCCTGAGTATTTGTTCCCAGTAGGATTCCCACTGACTTAGGCGTCGTAAAATCTTCGAGAGGGAAACCTCCTTTTGGTCCTCCCAGAGGCCCGACTGACCTATTCTTGAGTGTTTACAGGATGAAGCGCAGCGTTCACCCCATCACCCTGGGATCAGAAGCTTCTGCCCCAGAACGACTCGCTGCCTTTCCCCCCAGAGGACAAAACCCGAAGGCACAACTATATCCCCCAGACGAATCACACACCCCCACGTGGTATCCCAAAATTTGCTCCTGAACAATGTCATTGTATATTTTAGGTCCACACATATGTTATGATTTAATTTTTAAATGAATTCAAAGATAATAATATTATAATAAATATTTTTTTGTCGTCTGTTGCATTAAAACATCACAAAATGGGCAGAGCATAGTACTGATACAACTCGTTAGTAGGCCCAAACTGAAATAAAAAAAAGAAGCCCATAAACCTACCACTCCAGTCTAACAACATATGGACAGACACGCGTAAGAGAACTAAAAACAAAAAAGCCACGTGTTAGAATCAGAGAAAAGTCTCGATCACTGTTGTCTGCAATCACCAACGAGGACAACCTCCGCTGGTTTCCATCACCGACGACTAGGTATGACTTTCACAAGGCTGTTTCAACCATTGCTCCTTCCTTTTGCATAGATCGCCGGAGAAGAATGAAAAATTAAGATCTAATCACCAGATTGATGAATTGCTGGAGGCCCCGAAAGCAATGTAACAGAATTTTTGCCAGACCGTTATAGTGCCAGCTCTTCTTATTCTGCTCCAAAACATCCAATCGAACTCCCTCCTCTTGATTCCATATCACCTTAAGAGAACCTTTATTTCTGTAAAACAGACCTTATCGATCAATAAAGCAAAGAAATTACTCTCTCTAAGAAATAGAAATCAAACAAATCTGATGAAAGAAAGATTAAGCATCTTCAGCCGGATTTTGGAAAAGAAACATGCAAAAGGGATCATACTACAAAAAATCCGATAGATCTGGAGTTATTTATCCGATAAACGGAAGAAAGACATCCGATAAACGGAAATGTCCAGAGGTCGGACTTTGCCGGAAAATTGTGCTCTCTCTGAAAGATGTTAAAGAGAGAAGAGAGAGAGGGCTCCAGTTTTCCTTTAACTTATAAAATTTTATAATTAATAATTTTAATAGAATAAATTAGTCAATGTTAATTTAATATACACAAAAATAATTTATTATATAAAACTTTTAAAATAATATCCATAAATATTTTATTATAAATTCATAATAAAATATAATACTTTTGAATGTTTACTACTTTTAACATTAATAAAAATATATAATATTTTTAATTTTCACTACTTTTTTCAAAAATATAGTTATTAATTATTCATCAAAAATGTTTTTATAAATACAACATAAAAATAAAAATCTATTTATTTTCCTCAAATTTATAACAAAATATATAATAGAGAATATGTTTATTAAATATTCATTAAAAATATTCTTATAAATATAACCGAATAATTTAAAATAATATTTTATTTTTCTTATAACCAATCAGAATAAATAAAGAAAAGTCATAATAATTTTATTCATATATTGTTGTAATCATAGCTTGCACGAAAATAGTTATTAAAACATATGTAATACTTTAAGATAAATATTTTTAATGTAAATATTTTAACAATTCACAATAGTATATATAAAAATATATTATTAAAAATACATATTATTTTCGTTAAACATCACATATAAGGGTTATGTAATTTTATTTGCCATTACATATTATATGATGGATTTTTTAAAATGCATTTAACTGATATATTATTGAGGAAAATAATTTTATTTTAAACAATCAATAAAACAATTTCTCTAATAGTCTTACAAAAAGATAAATACTCGTTATTTACAAATTATAAATAAAATAGTGTAGGTTCGAACTTGAGACATTAAAATCACCACAATCACACATAACTAACTAGGCTAACTTTTTTCATGCTCAAATTTAATTAGTAAGTTGATAAATGATTAGATTATATATAGAATCTAAAATACAGAATATCATCATTTCGTTTTTATTCATAATATATATAGATTATCTTTTAATACTGATAGAATCTATTATTAGTTAATTAATTGTTTATTATTAATCTAATTATATGGATTCATTGTAACACAAATATAGTAAATAATACGAATTACGAACTAAAAAAATTACAACAATTATTTTAATTAAGTTATACTAATTCTAATAAATCATAATTATAGACTTATTGATTGAGTGAATTTTAAAGTAATTTTAAAATTGTTTTATATTATATATAATCAATAAAACAATTATCTAATAATCTTAAAAGAATATAAGTACTCATTATTTGCAAAATTAAAAATAAAGTAGTGTGAGTTCAATCTTAGGACATTAAAGTCATCAGAATCACACACAACCAATAAAAATAGCTTAATTCTTATTCTTCATGCTTAAATGTAATTAGTAAGATAAGTTGAAATCAGTAATTATATTGTTTACTATTTTAATAAAATAAAGTTGAAATCAGTAAATATATTGTAAGATAAGTTGAAATCAGTAATTATCATTTACTAATAATTGAATATATCATTAGCTAATTAGTCATTTATTAATAATTTAATTATAATCTAATTAAAAAGATTCACTGCAACACAAATACTGTTTTTAGTTTTGACCAATATTTTTATTATAATTATATACATACGCATTATTTTGTTTTAGATGGCTTTCCATAGATTTTTAATTTATAAGAGTGTTGTCGAAATTTTTTTGATCTTAAAATTTTTTAAGTACAATCATTTATATTAATATATATATAGAATTATAAAACATTGTTTTATCATATTTACATATACCCAAGTCATTACTAATACATATTGTATTTTATAAGTAGATAAACTTTCGATCAACGCCCATTGATAACATTTAAACGGTCTTAAAGAGCAATCTATGCTTTTATACACAGATTTATTTATTTAAATGCTTTTAAATTTTGAAAAATATTTTTTGATTAAATATTTTTGGAGTTAAAAACTGTTTTTTTTTGTAACAAGGCTGGTTATTTACATTAATTTATGGCTATAGTTGTTACTTTCCTAATTTTGTTGTGTTATATATATATTTTTGTTTCCAATTATTTTACCGTATACATATTTAAATACTTTTGATTTCAAATTTAGTTATCCACTTTTTATAATAAGATTTTGAATTTGTTACAAATTAAACACATAATAATTGTTTTTCTCTTTAATTTATTCAGTTATTTGATTTTTTTAACCAATATTATTTAATTATTATCTAAAGATCAAAAGTCAATAAATATACACATAAATATAGTATATGCAAAGTTTTGGACATTGGTGACAATACTAAATCATGTCGTTAATCACAGGATGTATAAGATTTATATAGCGATCTACATTATATTTAACTTTTAAATTAATTTATATAATAATTAAATATGTTATTGCGTACTATTATATGAAACTCATATAAAATCAATTATACCACACTGTATAATCTTAAAATTAATCAAACTTATATATATATATATAATAATTATTTATCACCCTGTGTGCGGGTTATTACCTAATTCATGTGTTATTGAATTGAATATTTGTAATGGTTCTATTAAATTGCTATAAATTATTATGTTATGCAACTTATTAGTTTTCTAATTCTATTAATTATCAGTGTTATTAAATTCTACTCGAATTTATATTGTATTGTTATATCAAAAGATTTCAATAGAAGTTTAGTACAAAAATGCAAATTGTCAATTCTTAGAGTTGATTGGCAAGTGTTTTTATAAGCTGTACACAGCAAAAAGATTTCAACAGATTTTAAATGGATTCAATCAAATTTTAACTTTTTTTTATGCACAACAAAATATTTATTTCTCTCATTTTTTGGCTATACAAAGTATTTTTTTTAAAACACATAATTTTATGTTTCTAAACTGTTACAATTCTAGAGAAAAAGCAATAAAATTTACAGCCACAAATTTTTTTACAACCATATCTGTAAAGCAAAAATACAAAGCTACAGCTGTTACTAATAAAACTTTTTACCATTTTTGCTTTGATTTTGATAGAATTAGTTTAATTCCCAATAACAATTTTAAATGATTTCAAAATTAATTACTTTTGAATTCTTTTACATTCTTTTAAATTGATTAATCCAATACTTACTTATCGTCCTACTTCTAACCGTTTTCATATATCCAAAAATCATTTCATCAGTTGTAGTAAGAGGATTATTTTCTTTTATTTTTTCAATTTCATTTTATAATTCCCATATCTTTGATAACAACAAAATTTAAATTGTCCCCTTATCAAAAATCAATGAAAAATATGTAAAATATAATATAGTAGAGGAATTTTAATTGGTTTCCTTGAGCCCGATTAAAACAAAATTCACAAAGATGGTAGGAAAAGTATGGTATTTTCAACGTGAAGAGAAGTGTCCTCTACTTCTCTAATGGCACAGGCCTCAAAATTTGAGACTTAAAACTTCTGTGTATATAAACTGCTCAATAAATATCAGTGCTTACCTCGTACATTTGCTCTCTTCTCAGGCTTACATTTTTTTTTTTTTTTTGCAGATAACTGCATAAGAAAAAGAAGAAGAAGAAGAAGAGATCAAGAGAAACCGAGCCTGACCCATAAGAATCCATTCATAATCAGTGTATAGAACCGCATAAAGATGGGGTTTTTGTCATTGTTGGAGGTGGCTTCTATGCCAGTGATTCAAGTTCTCATCATAAGTCTTGTTGGAGCTTTCTTAGCCACTGATCGATGCAAGGTCTTCCCTGTCGAAGCCCGTAATTCCATGAACAAGGTAAACCAATCTTAAACCGGATCTGTGAGAAACATATCAAAGATTGGTTTCTTAAATGAATTCCAAATTGTGTAGGTGGTGTTTGTAGTGTTTACACCGGCTCTCATGTTTGCAAATCTAGCACAGACGGTCACGCTTCAGGACATGATCTCATGGTAAAAACATCGGACATTTTTTTACCCTTTGCAAAATTATGGTAAAATTTATGCTCGAGTTGTGACAGTATTTACGAATTAGGTTGTTTTTGTTACTGTTTTAATGTTATCATAAATAGTGACGAATTTTTATCATCGTTAATCGTTATATAATTTTATGACGTTTTTGAAATTGAGGATTTATGATGATTATATTGTTTTAGAATTTGTAACATTTCCGTTACAATAAAAACTATATGATAAAATATTCATATATTATAACGAAAATAATGATAACAATATTCATTATTTTTGTAGTGAATATTCAAGTGTAATGTTAATATTATTATTTTTGGTTCTTATTGAATGGAATTAAAGGTGGTTTATGCCGGTGAATATGGGACTTACATTCTTAATCGGAGGAATTCTTGGTTGGATGGTTGTTAAGATTCTGAAACCACCTCCTTATCTTGAAGGTCTTATTGTTGCAACTTGTTCTTCAGGTATGTGACAAAAAAAAATCTGGATCCTCTTATTGTTAAAATAAAGTCAACAGACTTCTAAAATCTGGTAGAATTGTCCCGTTGGCAGTTGCCTAACTACATTTATTGATGTAGCTTATCTCTCCCTCATGTATGAAGGACTAAATTTTATGTTATTATTTTTCTTTCATACACTTCTTATCATTTATCTTTGTTTTCTCTATATTTGTATCTTTTTATACAATCCAGATTAATCGGATACACCAGATACTTTCTGTTCACTAAGTGTTTTATTCTCTGTTCTCCTACTTGCGCATCATCTTCTACACCTATGAACGTCATCATCATTATATGTTTAGATATCAAATTTTATTTGTTCTTCTTATAACAAAATTCAACTTTGGTGAAAAAGGAAATATGGGGAACCTACCAATCATACTTGTTCCAGCAATCTGTGACGAGGACAAGAGTCCATTTGGTAACCGAAGTGTATGCAGAACCGTTGGCCTCTCTTACGCGTCTTTCTCAATGGCGGTATGTATTGTTATGACAGCATTAACCTCATTCTTTAAAAAAATAAGAAGTAAAATTTAAAATCTTGTTCTGTTTATTTTGCAGCTAGGGGGTTTCTACCTATGGACTTACACATTCCGATTGATAAATGGGTCGGCAATGAAACTTCGAGACATAGAAGAATCAGAGAAATTAGCAAGAATTAAATCATCCAACAGTGACGTAGAATCTGATCACATGACCCATCTCCTCGGTGCAACTGAAGAAAAGAAAAAGTCAGGCTTTTGGAGAACACTAGTAGATTTTTTCCATGAGATACTTGAGGAGCTTCTCGCACCACCAACACTTGGTGCAGTAAGTTCAAATTACTAACTATATAGCACTGAGGGAATATATAAAAAAATGGGACTCAAATACTTAATGTGACATGTTTTCAGATTGTTGGTTTCATATTCGGTGCAGTTAAATGGCTAAGAAATCTGATCATAGGTGATGATGCTCCTCTACGAATAGTCCAAGCCACTGCAAAACTTCTTGGGTAGTAGTGACCACAATCTTGTCATACCATTTGCGAACATACACATCTTAAGTTACTAACTTGGCTGATTGTGCAGAGATGGGACCATTCCTTGCATGACGATTATACTAGGAGGCAACCTCATCAGGGCCGTGCCTACGAAGGAGTTAAAGAAACCTTCGCCTACGGCCTCAAAATTTTATGAAATATTTTGAAAGCAAAAGATAGAATAAATTAGTATTATATATATCTATAAATATTCTAAGCTTATGTTCTTATCGTTAATATCTCAAAGTTTGTTTTTTAGAATCTAAAGTCAACTGTTATGTCCATAAATATTTTTCTTAACTTTTGAATTTTGTTTTTTGTATTATATTCATACATTTATTTTGCCTTTTTCATTTTTACCACATTATCTATTTTTTTTTCAAAAAAAAAAATCACCAACTTCTTATTTTCTGTAATATGATTTATTTTATTTTTTACTTACCTTTAGTTTACAATTTAACTAATATATTACAGTGTAATCTCTATAAACTAATAACGTTGAATCATGAATTTTTACAAAAATATTAGTAATTTATAGTAATTATTAATTTAGAAGTATACTATTTAGTTGATAAACTAATTTTAGAACTGATAAAAATATTAATTTATCTAGGTATTAATGAATCAAATACTAATTTATAAAGGTTTTACTGTATATACAATGTTAATTTTTTTTATTTTTTACAATGTTGTATCTTATGTATTACAATTATATATATACACCAAACATAAAATAATTTAAAATCTCTTTTATAAATAATTCTATTAATATTTTCTTTCACATAAATTAGTTATTTTTAAAATAATTATTTAATAAAAATGTTGTTTTTGTTTTTCGCCTACGGCATTAAAAACCTTTGGCACGGCTCTGAACCTCATGCAAGGTAACTACTTGATCAAACTCTGACATTTCATTCTCAGCAAAGAGAAAAAAAAACTTACAAATTTTCTGTTGTCAAAATGACAAAAAAATTATTTAAATGATTTCGAAAGGAGCCTACTAAAATTAGCATATGAATGCCGTGGACCAGTATGGTACATTCTTATTATCGTTAACAATTGAGTTTAAGATAAAACTTATACTCCTTCTATTTCAAAATATATAAGTTGTTTTGCCTAAAAACATAAACATTAAGAAAAGTTACTTAAAAATATATTATTTTATATATAAAATAAATATACTTTAACTAATTATTAAAAAAACTATAATATATAATTAGTCACACATTATTCAATAAAATTAAAATTGCATAGAGATATAAAAACTACTTATATTTTGAAACAAAAAGATACTTCTAAAACACTTATATTATAAAACAGAGAAAATATATAATTAAAGAATTTGCTCAATTTCGATTTGCTCTTAATTTTTTTTTTTTTGTAATTCACCCGAATTTATTATATTTACTGTGGTTCCAAATCGACCAGGTTTACGTTCTTCAGCAATAAAACCAGTGGTTGTACTTGGAATAGTATGTGCTCGGTACATAATTCTCCCAATTATCGGAATAGGCATTGTTAAAACAGCTGCAAGTTTTGGATTTCTTCCATTGGATCCTTTGTTTCAGTATGTTTTAATGCTTCAGTTCACACTCCCGCCTGCCATGACTATTGGTCAGTCTCGTAAACCAATAGCTGCAAATCTAGAAAAACAATTAAAATAAATAGTATTAACAAGGAGTGATAAAATGAAAATTTGCAGGTACAATGACACAGCTGCACAATGTAGGGCAAGACGAGTGCTCAATGCTCATGCTTTGGACATACTTGATCGCGATTCCTGCACTCACTGTTTGGTCCACAATCTTCCTTCAGTTGTTAGTCTAGAGCACAACAAGATTCTCTCTCTCTCTTTACAATTTACATAATTCTCCCATTTTTGACACATAAATTGTATCCAATATTACAAGAATTTGATGGAAAGGCATATTGTTATCCAAGAACAACATATGTTTTGAGTTTGATATTCATTAATGTTTCCTGAGAGATCCAATGGGTTATCTGCAATACTTATATTGTTAGGCTTAATTTGGCAATCTTCTCAAATTCTTGAGTCGAACGTGTAAATCGGATTAGAGGAGCATATGATGTTTGCGCCGACCAAGAAAAAAAAAAACATAGAAGTATGTATATTTTCATGTCTTTTTTTCCATCAACATATTGTAATCGCAATGTTAAAATCTCATATATTAATTTAACACGTGTTACAATTTTATTAATTACTAATTTTGACATATCAAATTTTATATAATAAAAATAATAAAATGCTATTTGTTTATTTATTTTAGTTGATTTAGAAATTTATATATAATTTAAAATTTTTTATAAAATTTATTGATTTTCAAATATATCATCTCAATTTTAATCATTTTTTGTTTAACATAAAAATCATTCCAAATCTATTAAAATAGACTTTAAAATTAAATTCATAATTTTAAAATTATAGAACTAATAATATAGAATTTAAAATCATAGATTTAAGTATATTTTTTAAAATGAGAAATTTAATGATACTGCATTTGTTTTGGATGTTTAAATCTATTAAAATCTTAGAACTACAGTAATAGTAAAGACGATGTATATTAATCAGACCGAACCGATTGGGAAGAAAATAACCGAACCGGTAGAGAACCGGCGTTGATTTGGTTTATGAAGAAGGAAAAAAAAAAGGAGGAGGTTCACTTGTTTGCCTTAGGTTTAAGGCATCTAAAAAAAAAAAAGCTTCCGACGACTGAAATCTTTCCACCGGCGAAAATTTTACCACCAAGAGGTTGAAGAAGATGTTGAAAAGCAAGGTTTTCAATAAGAAAACCAGAGGAGGTGGAGTTAAAAAGGTATGTCCAATATCCGCGCCGCTCTGTCTTCTCTCTCTGCTTCTTCTTCCTTCCGAGGTTTTAGTTTTGTTCGTTAATTTTGTGGCGACAGCAAGTGAACGAGGTTTATCTACGAGATGACATATACTGTGGAACTTTTTCCTGCAAGTCTTGCGACACTTCAGCTGCTCGCTTGTCTTCCCCTAAGATTATTGTTGTGGACACCAACGTCGTTCTTCACCAAGTAAATCTTCTTTGATTACATAAAAGCTAAACCTTTTTGAACCTGTTCCTGCTCAAGATTTTGTTAATCAGTTTATATATCTATCTCTTTTGTCTTGGTAGATTGATCTGTTGGAGAATCAGGCCATAGACTGTGTTGTTGTTCTGTCTGTTGTGCTGGACGAGGTTAAGAACAGGAACAGATCCATTTACAGTAGAATCAGAGCTCTCACCAATAATCCAGCGAGGCAATTCTATGTTTTCTCTAATCATGTCCACAAGTAAGACCTCCTTCCAACTTTGAGATGTTAGTATGAACTAAAAAATTTTAAGGTAAAGAACCTTTTTTTAATTCTGGGTCCTTACTAAAATGTCCACAGGGATACTTATGTGAAGGCCATGGAGAGAGAGAGTGCCAATGACCACAACGATAGAGGTTTTATATACTACTATAATCACTTTCTCCATTTGCTAACATCTTGTTACTTCCTTGATCATGATGTATCAATCCATATAAAAAAAAAATTGCTATCAAATTCCATCTTCTGATATGCATCTGTTATTAAACTTTTGCATATGATCTGGAGTTCAGCTATTCGGGTCGCTACTCAATGGTACCAGAAGCATCTAGGGAGTACAGCTCAGGTGTTGCTTGTAACCAATGACAGGGAAAATAAACGGAAGGCCATTGAAGAGGGAATATCTGCAGAAACAAGTATGTAAAGTTTTCTTTTTTACTTTCCAGCATTTCAAATATCAAAAGGCTCGGTTTTGCATGACGTAGAAGCTTATAAATGAGTGTTTCTGTATCAGTTGAGGCTTATGTTAAATCAATTGGACAACCTGAATTGCTGGATCTGCTTGCGCAACCAGCCGGTGAAGACGTAACCATGGAAGATGCAGATGATTCCAGACCTTCGAAGAGGAAGCTTGTATACCTAGAGGTAATGGAGATGGACGACGTACTTGTTTTTCAGTCTCAGATTTGGGTGACTTGATACTTTGCCATCAAACAACTATTGTCTCATATACTTATGTTTCTTTTTTTTCCTGCCTGCAGCATAAGCCCATGTCTGAGATTACTGCTGGCTTACACCGTGGAATATTTCATCAAGGAAAACTCCGTGTCAATCGTTTCAATCCTTTTGAAGCTTATGTTGGAAGCGAGAGCATTGGCGAAGAGATAATCATCTATGGGCGAAGCAACATGAACAGGGCTTTCGATGGTGATATTGTCGCGGTAGAACTCTTGCCTCGCGATCAATGGCAAGAGGAGAAGGCATTATCTATAGCTGAAGAAGGTTTCTTTTAATATCTACATAGATTTTAAACTATTCATCTGCTTGCATGAAGTGGTGTCAAACTTATATTTCTTTCACATATAAAATTCAAAAGCAGATGAAGAAGAGGACGATGGTGTTCATTTGGCTCCCAACAGTGCTGACGATGCTCCTAGAACCTCAAATATACCCCAAGAAACTTCTGGTGACAAAAATGCTAACCCTGCTCGTCCATCAGGCCGTGTGGTCGGTGTTATCCGTAGAAATTGGCACTCGTGAGTTCACTTCTTGATTCTGTTGTACTTGATTACCCCTATCTTCTTGCTGGTTTCTTTTCTTTATAACACATTGATGCATAATATGAGATCATGTTGATAAACATGCCGATATACTCTCCTAGAGGTGCCAGTTTGCTTTGCTTCTCCTTAATATTGTCTTATTTTGAGAGCCTGTTGCAAGCAGTGGTTTCTGGGTGAAGGTTCCTAATTTGCAAGATATTATGCAGTTATTGTGGATCTCTTGAACCAATGTCACTACCTGCTGGTAGTGGTGGAACGGCCCATGCTTTATTTGTCTCTAAAGATCGCAGAATTCCCAAGATTCGCATCAACACCCGACAGCTTCAGAACCTTTTGGATATGAGGATAGTAGTGGCAGTTGATTCTTGGGACCGTCAATCTCGATATCCCTCTGGTCATTATGTACGACCAATCGGCAAGATAGGCGACAGGGAAACTGAAACAGAGGTAAGGGCAGTATATTAAATTAGGACAAGTGTATTGGTTTCCTTTTTCTTGGAAGTAATTGACTTAGATAGTTGGAAATTAACATGAGTACTCTTCCTTGTGGATGCTGCAGGTTGTCTTGATAGAGAACGATGTTGACTACTCGCCATTCTCTTCTCAAGTTCTGGCATGCTTGCCACCCTTACCTTGGTCTGTATCTTCTCAAGATGTATCCAATCCTGTTAGGCAAGACTTACGACATTTGCTTGTCTTTAGTGTGGATCCTCCGGGTATGTAACTTAAAGCTTAACTCAATTGACTGTGTATATGAGTTTATTCAATTTAAATTGTCTTTCAGAGTCTGTAGTTAGTTGTGTACAAGCAGATTAACTTGTTTATGGTGCTAACAGGTTGCAAGGATATCGATGATGCATTGCACTGTACATCGCTTCCTAACGGGAACTTTGAAGTTGGAGTCCGTATCCTATAGTCCACATAAACAACTCATTTACATATGACTGAGCTCACAATTTAGGACGTGTTAAGAGTCAATGAGTTACAAATCACTTTGTCGTGTATATAATTATAGCATTTAAATGGCTCCTGTTACCGTTTTGCTTCATAGTTCGATTTTCTCGTAATTATCTAGTGTTAAAAGTGCTTTTGAGGTGATCTGTTTTATACCTTTTAGTATTCAGTCTCTTCCAGATTTTTTTGGCTAGTTCCGTTGTCTTCTCTTCGTATCTCGGGAATGAATTAATGATGCTTATCCTTGACCATGTTTAATTAGACATTGCGGATGTAACAAATTTTGTTCACCCTGGTACTCCTTTGGATGATGAGGCATCAAAAAGAGGCACATCTGTCTACCTTGTTGACCGCCGTATTGACATGCTTCCCAAGCCTTTAACTGAAGGTAATATCTTCTTACAGGATACATTCCCTTCATGTTTGAATTCCAGTGCACCTCAAGAAACATGGTTTTACTTGCAGATATTTGCTCCCTTAGAGCTGATGTGGAAAGGCTTGCTTTCTCGGTTATTTGGGTAATGCTTTAGCCATTTTTAAATGTCACTGTGATGCCCAAAAGTTTATGTTACACATATTAGCAAATTGGTAAAAGGTTAGCCTAAGCATAATTCATATTTCTAGGAAATGAGTCCTGAAGCTGAGATTATTTCAACGAGATTTACAAAGAGCATAATCAAGTCTTCTGCAGCATTGTCCTATGTTGAAGCTCAGGCTCGGATGGATGACAGGTACGTTCTGTTTTAGCATAGTGTTAGAGGGCCAGTGCTTAGAGCTGATGTGTTAAAGGCTTACCATAATCTCATTAACGTTTTGACAGTAGAAATAATGGTAGCAAGGATATGTTAAAAAAATATTGCATTTTATTTTCAGAAAATAAACCTTTCTACTGATGTATTTATGAATTTCGTTTTCTATTAGTTTGATTTGTAGAGTTGTTTCCGATTCCCTCTTTTACATTATGCCCAAGATTGATAAGTGTGATTACTTTTTGCAGCCGATTGACGGACAATGTGACTACAGATCTGAGGAACATGAATACTTTGGCAAAGGTTTTAAGACACCTCCTCTCATACTTCAGAAATTATAGAAAGAACACAATATTTTAACCTGTTTTCTTTTTGCTTGTGAAACCTGTAGATAATGAGGCGAAGGCGTATCGATAGGGGAGCCTTAACTCTTGCTTCTGCTGAAGTTAAATTTCAGATTGATACCGAGACTCATGATCCTCTTGACATTGGTATGTTTGCTGGGCAAAATTTGTTTTCTTGATGGATATTTTCTTAGTCTTCACCCAAACACCCATGAAGTACAACAATCTCTATCTTTTTGAAAGATTTATTCATGTGTTTGTCATATTCTCCTGTGTCTCTGTGTTTTGCACAGGCATGTATCAGATTCGGGAAGCAAACCAAATGGTTGAGGAATTCATGCTTGCTGCAAATGTTTCAGTTGCTGAACAAATCCTTAAACAATTCCCTTCTTGTTCACTATTAAGGTAAAGTTTGTGATAGAAGGTTTAATGGAATGCTCTTACAGCGATGGTCCGGTCTGCTTCTCAAAGATGGCAATCATTCTGTATATGTTGACATGCTTATTTGTGTAAAATTGATTTCAAATTCTTTTTCAAGATGTGATCAGATTAACTTTCAGTTGTTGCCAAAGATGCCTATACTGCTATACTGGTTACATGAATTGCTTACCATTGCTGTTCGTGTAAAATTTGATTAGATAATGTTGTGCTTATTTAGCATAATGCATTTCATGGGATCTGAAGTAACTGTTTAGGACGTTTTTAGTCTTTTATGATCAATTTCTGCAATTTCTGTTGATTTTTATTATCAAATAGTAGTTCATCATATCTAACATCTCTTGTTTGGTTCTTTATGCAGGCGTCATCCTACTCCAACAAGAGAAATGCTTGAACCGTTGTTGCGTACTGCTGCAGCTATTGGACTAACCTTAGATGTCTCTTCATCTAAAGCTTTGGCTGATTCACTGGACCGGGCTGTGGTGAGTTTTTGTCTTGTTTTGTTTTCTGCACTGTCTTATTTCGCAGTCTCTGTTCCACAACTAGGCTGTACATTCTACTCATAATTACATTCAGTAACTTGCTTCCTTGTTTCAAATAGCTTACTTTCTCTTTACTCAATCTTGACAAAAATCGTTAATTCTTCAGGGAGAGGATCCATATTTCAATAAGCTGATCAGGATATTGGCAACTAGGTGCATGACACAGGTAATGCTTCCGTTATGACTGAGTAGTTAAAATTACTGGTGATTCTCGCTAAATATCGCAATATCTAACATTTTTAAATGTATTACTACTCAGGCTGTATACTTCTGTAGTGGGGATCTCACACCTCCAGAATATCTTCATTATGGGCTTGCAGCACCTTTGTATACTCATTTTACATCCCCTATCCGGAGATATGCTGGTCAGTAAAAAAAATACTCTGTTTTTTTACCTTTTGTTTTCACCTAATAGGATGCTATAACCACCTTGCTTCGTTCCTTTGTTCTAGATGTGTTTGTGCACAGATTACTTGCCGCGTCATTAGGAATATACAAGCTTCCAACGGTGTTCCAAGACAGACCTCAACTTACTAGTGTTGCTGATAGTAAGAGTTCGCTTACCATCTTGAGTCTTGAGACAAGATTTGTAAACCTATGAAGTCTTTTGTTACTTCCTGATTTGGTTTTGGAACCTAACGTCTTTTCCTGACATGTTTCAGATTTGAACTACCGGCATAGGAATGCGCAGATGGCAAGTCGAGCTTCAGTAGAGCTCCACACTCTTATCTACTTCAAAAACCGGTAAAGATCTGTCTTTTTTTCTTTCCCTGAACCTTACTTGAATCTAAAGGACTGGTTAAAGACTAAGAGAAACATCTCTGTGTTTTTGATGTTGCAGACCCACAGATGCAGAGGCGAGAGTTGTGAAGATAAGATCCAATGGTTTCATAGTATTCGTACCAAAGTACGTTCTCTATTCTTTTGCTTATTGTTCACTACCATCATTAGCATTTGTAGCTTTATTCTTCTCATCTATGTCCTCTTACTTAACGATTTTAACACACGACTGATATATGCAGGTATGGTATCGAAGGACCTGTTTATTTGACAGCGAAAGGTGAGAAAGGAGCTGGTGAGTGGTACGTAGACGAGGAGAAGCAGAAGATTGTTAAGATGGATGGAAGTTTATCTTACAGTGTCTTGCAGACAGTGAAGATTCACATGGAGGTTAAGGAGCCTCAGCCCAACAGACCGAAACTCGAACTCACTCTCTTGTAAAAACTTTTTTTACCCTTTTAAATCTCACTTTTCACTTATGTCAAAGAGTTTAATGCCTGTTTTTTCACCCTCTTTGTGGTTTCTTTGTCAAAGTCAAAAGACATTATTGTATCATCATTTCATAAATTCATTTATAGATGCAATTTTTGTGCTATGATCCTGTGTTTTTCTTGATAATACTGTATGCTTTTCATATTAAATTGATGTAATATTTGATACATAAATTTTTAAGATGCATTAATAATCATTGAATATACGAGTTATGTGAATTGGACTATTTGTAATTTATTAAAAAAAGGTAATTGACTATAATTGGTAAAGTTTCTCATCTTCTTGAGATAAAAAAAAAAAAAAGTTCATGACGTTTTCTCTTTCTGCAAAAACCGATTTAGTCTGATTTGAGGTTATTTTAATTTATTTATCCTTCATTATCTATATTTTTCTAAAAATAACAATTCGTTAGAAGATTAGCTTAACGCGTCGGCTCAGCTCGGCTCGGCTCGAACGGGCGGCTCAACAGTTTGAAGTAAGGTGGGGGACAGAGGGAGAAGAAACTCGACGGCACGGAGATCCTAAAACCGCAGCTTCAGGCGAAGCTTCGCATATCTCCTCGGTTGTTGACTTTACCGACAAGTCAATTCGAAAACCCTCGCTTCATCTTAAATCTCTCTATCTCTTCTTCCGATCATCAAATCAAATCCTCTATCTCCGATCGGTCTGTGTTCATGTCCCGGACGATGCCAAGATGCCACTTTCTCCGCCATCTCTTCTTCTTACTATTGCTACTGACAACATCTTATTGCGCCGGCGCCGCCGCTGAGTCGTCCAATCAGATCTCGCTATTTGGGTTTCGACCCGCTGGAAGATTGCTCCTGCACTCTCCGTGAGTTTTATGATCCTGCCTCGTTGAGTATTGATTAGGTTCTATTGAATTGATTCTTTATCATACTCAAAATTGATTTGAATTTATGGAGAAATTGAGTGAATTCGCAAGTTTTTGTATATGTTTTTGATTTCTCTGTGTGGTTACAGTGAGCCAAACACGGAGCTTGTTGTTGATCGTTCTGGGAAAGTATCGTTAATAGTGCAGCCATCGGAGAAACCGATATGGTCTTTCTCGTCAGGAACACCGATTCATTCCTCATATCAGGCTCCTATAATCGCTGGGAACAACAACACAGATAATGCGACTGAGATAAGCAAAGCTTTCGTTGTCGAATATGTAGACAACTCACAGGCTAATACGGTTGATGATGATCTCTACACTAGACGGGTATGGAAAAAACTAAATTCAAGACTTTGATAGTTCTTCATGCATCTCTCTTTATATGACACACTTGCTCATTTAATGCAGACTATGGAGGACTTGCTTAAGATGATGCCCCTTGTAAGTGATGATGGTGTGACTCTTGGCTCAAAAACATCTACTGCATATTTGATTGATGGCATATCAGGGAGGCTGATTCATATCTATAGATCCACCGATTCTCCCGGAGACAGTAACCATTCTAATGCTATGGTGAAGCCCACTAGCTCCGATAACTTCGTGAAGCTGCCACTTCTCATCACGCGGACGGATTCAAAGCTGGAGCATTTCGATAAGATCACTCGGAAGATTTTGTGGAATGTGACGGTTTCTGACTTTGGAGCTGATTTGCTGTGTGATTTAGCCTTCAATGCAGGGAACAACCTCGGTCCTGAAATCCTCACTGGAGTTTATATGCCGTTGCGATGTGGATCGAAAACTAAAGTCCGTGCCAATATTAAATCAGAGTTTCTTATCAGGGTGCCTCGTGATCCCTCCCAAGAACTCACCGACAGCGAAATCAGCATCTCTCTGCCTTCTACAAGAACCAGAGAATCCAGGAAGTTACAGGAGCAAGATAGGCAAAACTATACTGGAAAATTTTTCGGATGGTCGCCAGTAAGATTATTGGTCCCTTTGTTCTTCCTTGGTGCTGTTGTTTCTGTTTTCATCAAAAGGTCTTCACCCAGGAGCGGTGATCTTAGTTCGAACTCTGGACCTTCCAGAAAGAAAAAGAACCGTAGTAAATCGGGGAAGGGTGGTATTATAAATGGGCAGAGCGATAAGCAGCCAGAGTTTGAGCTCATTGAAGGAGGTCAAATGTTATCAGGCTTCAATAACCTTCGAAATGGTGCAGCTGATGGTCGAACGATTGGTAAGTTGTTCGTGTCGAATAAAGAAATCGCAAAGGGAAGTAACGGGACCGTGGTGTTTGAGGGTCTTTATCAAGGCCGGCCCGTGGCTGTAAAACGCCTTGTTCGATCCCATCATCAGGTTGCTTCCAAGGAGATCGAAAACCTCATTGCGTCTGACCAGCACTCTAACATCGTTCGGTGGTATGGTGTGGAGTATGACCAGGATTTTGTTTACCTTTCTCTAGAGCGTTGCACATGCAGTTTAGATGATCTGATCAAGACCTATTTAGAGTTCTCAATGACAAAAGTATTGGGAAACAGTGAATCTACAGAAACAGTAGCTGCGTATAAGATTCAACTGGATTCTTTCGAGGGAGTTATCAAAGGAATCAACTTGTGGAAAGTAGGGGGCCATCCATCACCTCTCATGCTTAAACTAATGAGGTGAATTTGGACTTTAGCCGTAATATTCTTGGATTAAGAAATGTTTTATGTTTCATTTTAACATCAAAGGTAGCAACCTTGGTTAGATGCTATATGGTATTATATAAGTTAGATTAATCTAAAACCTTGTTTGTTGATTTGAAAACCTTGTACTGTGTGTGTTGTGATGCAGGGATGTAGTTTATGGACTTGCCCACTTGCATGAATTGGGAATAGTTCATAGAGACTTGAAACCACAAAATGTATTAATAACTAGAGGGATGACTTTGAGTGCAAAGCTCTCTGATATGGGCATTAGCAAGCGTCTATCTGGGGATATGTCATCCTTGGGTCATCTTGCCACAGGTAAGTTCTTGTCTTTGTTTGATCCCTATGCTGTGTGATCTCGTTAATCAAAATTATCATAAGAGTAATACTACTTAGTGGCCTAGTATAGTTAGGAAAATGCTTGCCAGAATCCAAACGTGGTGGATGATTGTTGGTTGAGTCTGAGATTATGCTTATGAAACGAATTTCGAACCAACTTTTAGAAATGTCTCTGTTTAAATTTGCAGGTTGTGGTAGTTCTGGTTGGCAAGCACCAGAGCAGCTTCTTCAGGGTCGTCAAACTCGTGCAGTGGACATGTTTAGTTTGGGTTGTGTGCTCTTTTACTCGATAACTGGTTGTAAGCATCCATTTGGAGATGATCTTGAACGCGATGTCAATGTTGTGAAGAACAAGGTCGATCTATTTCCAGTAGAGCATGTTCCTGAAGCCTCGAACCTCATCTCTCGTTTGCTGAACCCAAACCCTGATTTACGGTAAAGCCATCTTCTTTCTCTGATGATTCAAAATCCACTCGACAAAAACCAATCTCTTTGCTATTTTTGGCAGTCCTAGTGCAACCGAAGTGCTGTTCCATCCAATGTTCTGGAACTCAGAGATGAGACTGTCTTTTCTTCGAGATGCTAGTGACAGAGTAGAGCTCGAAAACAGAGAGGTTGATTCTGAAATCTTGAAAGCAATGGAGGATACAGCTCCAGTGGCTATAGGAGAGAGGTGGGATGAGAAGCTTGAACCTATCTTCATCACGAACATTGGTCGCTACAGACGTTACAAATACGACAGTATTCGCGATTTGTTGCGTGTAATCAGAAACAAACTGAATCATTATCGAGAACTTCCTCCAGAGATCCAGGTTTGTCTTAAAAACAAATCCTTCAAAACAGGTTTTTTTTACACGTGAGCTTATAAAATGGTTATTTTGAAAATGTGTTAGGAACTTGTCGGAACGGTTCCAGAAGGATTTGATGACTACTTTTCGGTTCGGTTTCCGAAACTGCTGATTGAAGTCTACAGAGTCATCTCTCTGCACTGCAAGGAAGAAGAAGTATTCAGAAAGTACTTCGAGCGCAACATCATATAAATAACCATTGCCCTTTATTGTAATCCTTGTTTGTTTATTATATATAGAATATAAACATAAATTAAAGTGCTATCTAACTTTATTGCAACATGTATTACTAACTAGTCTATGTATATATCTATCTCTTCATGTAAGTTTTATGTTTGAAATAATGTATTTATGCAACACAATTAAGATTTCTATTTCGAAATGTTCTTTTTTAAAGACGGGCATGTTGGTTACACAATTGAAGTTAAACTTCTAAAACGCACAAACATATAAAAACATGCTGATGAAATCACAAGAAATTAATCGTTTGCCTAAACCCAAGCGACGCAGCGAGCCAAAGAAGGGCTCGGAGGGGGATTCGAGCTCCTCCCATCACCGAGGGAGTAGTACTTTCCATTAGTATCAGCTAACGATGGATATACTCTGTTCCTCACCTCTGGCGAGAGACCAGATCTTATAAAAGAGGCAGAGGCACTTGTAAACACTGTCAAGCCTCCAAGATCTCTCTTCTCGTCCCATACATTCTGTTCCATGTTTAGCTTAAACACCGTCGGGTTGCTGTTGTCTTGGTGTGTATAGATAGCAAAGATGTCTCCTTCATGCTCCGTCAAATGCACTGGCGTAACGAAACAGAAATAGTCCGGGAGAAAGGCCCGACATTGTTTCACCGGAAGAAGGTTCCACGTTGCTTCACGCGGGTCGAAAACCCCGAGGTGGCCGCAGGTACTGAGACAGTAGAAGACACCATTCGAGAAGACACATTTGGTCCAGTAACGGTGGCATGAAGGTTCACAGTTCTTAAAGTGGGTGGCTCCTGCGGGTTCACCAGGCCCCCAGAGCCATGAAGGTTCGCATTTCTTAAAGCGATGGGTGGTCCATGCGGATTCACCAGGCCGCCAAGTATCGATCACAACATCAGCTACTTGTTTGCATGAGATCACCACACAGCTGCTTGATGTAGGAGCGGCTGAGAAAGCGAGGCAAGTCCCGACGTAATTGAGTGTCATCTTGGGTAAATACAAGTGGTTTCTGGTAAAAGGGTTGAGAAAGTGTGTTCGACTGTGTTTGTATGATCCGACAAGCACCCAACCATCCCGAGAACAAAGGAATGCATCGGTCTCATTTAAATATGGGGAATCGACCTCATGTCTTCGAGATAGAGACCGTAATGGGTCAGCAAGGATGATGTAGGTTGAGCCAGTAGGAGACGATCCGCGAGTTGGATGAAAAAGCAATGGACGGCGCTTTGACTTCCTGACGGAAACAGCTGCTTCACACCATGCCTTGCAGACCACGGAAGCTTGTATGTTCTTTTAACCCGAGGCGGGACAGTATCTCCTGCAGGAGATCTGAGGGAAGATGTAGATTCCAAAGTCCTGTGCTCTTCTTCTTTGACCCACGGTTTCTTTTGCCTTTTGCAGTGCATCTAATTAACGATTAGAAGAAGAAGAAGTTAAGAGAAACTACTATGGAATTGGGACGTTTCTCACTCATGTCCCGCGAGAGTGAAAGCTACTTCAAACTTTAGGGTTTGTTCGCCTTAACCCTAGAATTTCCGATTAAAAGGAGAAAGAAAAAACTCACGATTGGAGATTTCTTCTTTTTGTGCCGGAGGCTGGAAGCGCTTGATCTATGATGAGAGCCTGAGCCTGAGCCTGTCAAATTTGCTCCTTCATGTCCTCGGCTCTTATTACGTTTTTGTTTTTGGGATCATGAAGCCAAACGCACCGTTTAGCTTTTTTTCCTAAACGACACTGGACTGTCTTTTTTTTTTTATCGTCAAGCTCGGGAAAAAAAATTACAAAATCCAACCGAAAAATAATTGCCGAATCAAAAATTTGCGTACCAGTTCGAATGAAAAATATGCTCTTTTCAAGTTCAGTAACGGTTCGATCTGGGGTCGCAAACTCAACTTCGATCTACTGAAATCAATCTCGATGAAATATATTTATTGAAATCTATTGACTTTTGAGTTTCGTCTCATCAGAGAATCGATCCCAAGTGATGACAGTTTCGTTCTCCCTGATGCTCAGAATCTCGGATCTTTCGACTTCTTCTCGATACGTGCCAGTGACAAGATTATGGCTTCAGCTGCGGTGTTTCTGTTCATCTTCTCCGTCATCATCATCACCATCACCATCGTCTTCTTCTTCGCTTTCTGTGCCTAGCGATGATCATATCGTCCGTCTAATTCTAGACCAGAGATCAGCTTCAGGAGCTCTTGAAACGTTTCAATGGGCGTCGAATTTCCCTGGGTTTATCCATTCTCGTTCCACTTACCGTGCTCTGTTTCACAAGCTCTGCGCTTTCCGCCGTTTCGAAACTGTATACCAACTGCTCGATGAAATGCCTGAATCGATTGGTTTGCCTCCGGATGATGCTATCTTCGTAACCATCGTACGAGGACTCGGGCGCGCTAAATCGACCAAACGCGTGATCAGTGTCGTTGATCTGGTTTCGAGATTCGGGATCAAACCATCTCTGAAGGTTTTCAATTCGATTCTTGATGTTCTGGTGAAGGAAGACATTGACATAGCCAGAGAGTTTTTCAGGAGGAAGATGATGGCTAGTGGGATCCAAGGTGATGAGTACACATATGGGATTCTGATGAAAGGTCTTTGCTTGACGAATAGGATCGGCGATGGTTTCAAGCTACTTCAGTTCATGAAGACACGTGGCGTGACTCCAAACACTGTGATATACAACACCTTGCTTCATGCTCTTTGCAAGAACGAGAAAGTTGGGAGAGCAAGGAGTTTGATGAGTGAGATGAAGGAACCCAATGATGTGACTTTCAACATCTTGATATCTGCTTACTGCAACGAGCAGAAGCTGGTTCAGTCGATGGTGCTGCTTGAGAAATGCTTCGGTTTGGGACTTGTTCCCGATGTCGTCACGGTGACTAAGGTGATGGATGTGCTCTGCAACGAAGGCCGTGTATCCGAGGCGCTCGAGGTTCTAGAGAGAGCGGAAAGCAGAGGAGGTAAAGTCGATGTTGTGGCCTGTAACACCTTGGTGAAAGGGTATTGTGCGCTAGGGAAAGTGAGAGTTGCGCAACGCTTCTTCAAAGAGATGGAGAGAAAGGGACACTTGCCTAATGTGGAAACATACAATTTGTTGATCGCTGGGTTTTGTGATGTTGGAATGTTGGATTCAGCTCTTGACACTCTCAACGATATGAAAACAGATGCGGTTCGATGGAACTTCGCTACATTTAACACTTTGATCAGAGGATTATCAGTAGGAGGAAGGGTTGAAGATGGTTTAAAGATATTGGAACTGATGGAGGACAGCGAGAACATTCATGGAGGCAGAATCGATCCGTACAACAGTGTTATCTATGGCTTTTACAAGGAAAACCGTTGGGAGGAAGCTCTGGAATTTCTGCTAAAGATGGAGAAACTGTTCCCAAGGGCTGTTGAGAGAAGCTTCAAGCTGATAAATTTATGCGAGAAAGGCGTCGTGGATGATGTAAAGATAGCGTATGAACAAATGGTTGATGAAGGAGGAGTTCCTAATGTTATAGTGTCACATTGCCTGATTCATAGATATTGCCAAGAAGGCTACATGGAAGAAGCACTTGAGCTTATAAACAACATGGTGACCAGAGGCTGTTTGCCTCAGTCAGCAACATTCAACGCTGTGATTATCGGTTTCTGTAAGCAAGATAGAGTCATGAGTGGCATCAAGTTTGTGGAAGACATGGCTGAAAGAGGCTGCGTACCTGATGGAGAAAGCTACAATCCGTTGCTCCAAGAATTGTGCGTGAAAGGTGATTTTGAGAAGGCTTGGGTGCTTTTCTCACGAATGGTGGCGAAGAGTATTGTCCCTGATTCGTCTCATTGGAGTTCACTGATGTTTTGTCTCAGCCAGAAACCCGAGATCCACTTGAACACCTTGTTGCAGGACATTATCGAAAGCTAAAGCTTTTTGGGCTCGAAGTTGGGGTGTTGATAGTGCATCTGCAGCAAATACGAAGAAGGCTCTTAGCAGAAAGATAATTAAAAGATGGTTCTTTTGCGTCTTTCGAAAATCTGTTAAAAGCAAAGAGCTTTTGGAGAAAAAAGAGATACCTAAAACAGAGCCAAAACCCAAAACATTACAAACACCAAGAGAAAAGGGCAAAATGGAGAATGGGACAACGTTAAAATGGGAAAATGTTTGAAGCACACCCATCAATAAAAAAAGGACAAGAGGAGCAAAAAGTGGAGAGAGTCTTAACCACAACGCAATCTGAGTGCCATTCCTCTCTCTCTCTTTGTTCGAGAAATTAAAGAAAAGGGATCTCTTTTATTCAAAGATCCAACCTTTGACAATCAAAGACCACAGAAGGATCAAGCGTTGGAATTCAGACAGGGAAAACGAGATAATGTCGTGTTCATCCTCATCTGGATCAGATGAAGAGGATGAGGGTTTCGACGCTTACCGTAAAGGTGGATATCACGCCGTTAGAATCGGCGACCAGTTTTCCGGTGGCCGTTACATCGCTCAGAGAAAGCTTGGTTGGGGTCAATTCTCCACCGTTTGGCTTGCCTATGATACTCGAACCTCTGTACGCATCTCTCTCTTCATTTCCTCTCACATTCTCGTTGTACTATGCCATTAGGATCTTTAATGCAGAATTTTTTTTTTTTTTTGAAAATATCTTTAATGCAGAATTTGATTTCGTAGATTTGTTTCTTCCCTTATTGAAAGCATGCATACATTAGTCTTCTCGAATTCCTTTCATCCGGGCTCTGATCTGTTTTGGTGCAAGATCTTATCCTCTTCCAACCTCATCTTGTGAATTAAGCAAAGTTCTGAATTTGTGAATCATGGTTCTAGATTTTGACACTGTACTCTGTAGCTGCATTGTGGAAGTAAATGGCGTTGTTCTAATGCCATCGTTACTTTATGATTGTTCCATCAACTATAGCTCAAACTTAAGAATTCTTTAGTTTCTCTGACTTCAAGAGTTCTCTACCTTCTATGAAACAGGGAAATACATTTACTCTCTTAGATTCTTTAATTGTGAGAAAATAACTCTGATGTTTTGCTTAGAATATAGGAATGTCCATGTCCATCTACAGTTTTTATAAAATTTAAATTGAAACGAAATTCTACAAACTCCTTGACGTAGGCATCCTTCTTTTAGGCTCTTGTTTCTCCATTTTTTTAATATTTTATAATCAAATTTGGCTTGAATTATAACATTGTTTTCTGCAGACTTATGTTGCTTTGAAGATTCAGAAGAGCGCCCAACAGTTTGCTCAAGCTGCACTTCACGAGATCGAACTTCTTCAGGCTGCTGCTGATGGAGATCCAGCAAATACCAAGTGTGTTGTTCGTCTTATCGATGAATTCAAGCACACAGGTCCCAACGGGCAGCATTTATGCATGGTGCTCGAGTTTCTTGGCGATAGCTTGCTCCGTTTGATCAGATACAACCGTTACAAAGGGATGGAGCTGAACAAAGTGCGGGAGATATGCAAATGTATACTGACCGGTCTAGATTATCTGCATCGTGAACTCGGTATGATTCACTCCGACTTAAAGCCCGAAAACATTCTTCTTTGCTCCAGCATTGACCCTGCCAAGGATCCCATCAGATCCAAACTAACACCGATACTAGAAAAGCCCGAGGGAAACCAAAACGGTGCAGCAACCATGAATGTGATTGAGAAGAAGTTAAAGAGGAGAGCAAGAAGAGCGGTTGCTAAAATCTCAGGAAGAAGGGTTTCCATAGTAGGTTTAAGTGAAACACCGACAAAGACCAAGAGGAATTTGGATGGGATTGATATGAGATGCAAAGTCGTAGACTTTGGGAACGCTTGTTGGTATGATAACAAGTTTGCAGAAGAGATTCAAACAAGACAGTACAGAGCTCCCGAAGTAATACTTCAGTCTGGCTACGCTTTCTCTGTCGATATGTGGTCTTTCGCTTGCACCGCCTTTGAGCTCGCCACAGGTGATATGCTCTTCGCTCCAAAAGATGGAAATGGTTATGGAGAAGACGAGGTAAAAATTGCTTTCAAGAAACCCCAAAATCGGTTTGAACCATAGAGTGTTTTCTTTTATTAATATACATTCTTCTGCTCTGGTTTTGACTTCAGGACCATCTTGCTCTTATGATGGAACTCTTAGGGAAAATGCCTCGAAAGGTACTTAAAACACTTTGGTTTGGTCTCTTCATTGGTTTGGTTATAGTCTGTCTCTTTTGATACTACTGATTTTGATTAGATTGCCATTGGAGGAGCGAGATCAAAGGATTACTTTGACAGACACGGCGACTTGAAGAGGATCCGGAGATTGAAATATTGGCCACTCGACCGTTTACTGACCGATAAATACAAGATTCCTCAAGAAGAAGCACGAGAGTTTGCGGATTTTCTCTGCCCGATTCTTGATTTTGCACCTGAGAAGCGACCTACTGCTCAACAGTGCCTTCAACATCCATGGCTGAATCTCAGGACACAGGACAATGAAGATCATATAGAAGGTCAGATGAGTAAGTTGCAGATTAAAAATTGAAGAATTGGAGTTTTGTTTTTTCGGCTTACAAGTGATATAGAACTTGTCTTTTTTTTTTCTCTCACATTCTTTGGTTCGTTTCAATTTGAATAATTTTGATTGACTTTATTTGTTTGTTCATCTATTCTTTTTTACCAAATATTGGGGCGATATGATCAATGTGACCAACCATTGATTTCATGAGTATAATATAATATATTGCGATTTAATGAGTGAATTGTGTTCAGTTGAGAATAACAAGGTTCAGTGTCCTTAGCTATTTATATAAAATGTTCGGTCTATAAGTAATCTCGTTGTTCTTATTTAGGAAAGTATTCTATTTTTTAAGCTACAAGAAGATAAATACATTTTTGTTTGATTCGCTTCACATGGGGTTTGTCTTTTGTCATCGAAGTGAGATTGTTAGAAAGAAATGTTTGCTTTTTCTTTGTTCTCAGAATTTTATGGTTTTATAGATTTGCCGAAACTTGTTAAATTATTTCAAAACTAGGTGTGCTGTTTTTTTTTATAAACGGGGACTAAAAATTCATAATTAATTATACAAAACACATAATGTTAATAAATAAATCAAATCAAAATTCAAAAAATAAGTTTTTTTGGTTGTCAATCAAATCGAATCGAGACTATCTTAAATTTATTTAAATAGTACAATCACTCAAAATACTTTTACGAGTTATTATTGTTCTAACTCTATATTATTATTTTAATATTTTATTAATACAATATTTTTGATTTTTCTTGTTATTCGTATGTATTGTACAAATCGTTAGTTTTATCTTATACAGTTTGGCGATAGTTAGGTCGTCTGCACCAACTATGGATATAAACATATTAAGAAATTGATAGTATTTGAAGAAAAAAAAAATTAACTTGTATTTATTTTGATAGATTTAACATTTACATCTATAATGCACTTTCTAACTTTCACATCAAATTTCTATATCCAATATAGAAAAGGTTAAATTTAAATAATCTCGAAGAAACACACTACTAAATCAATACAAAAATATAGCTCAGTAGATTTAACAATCTTTTATAATGTCTTTCTAGAATTCTTAAAAAAAAATTTCATCCATTCTTCTACTTTGTTTTTTATATCTTTCAGTTTTTTTCTTTTTCTATGAATTCTTCTTCCTCTTCATCACTTACGGCATCTCCTCAGATTTTTTTTAAAAAAATATTGTCTCTTCTTATCTTATTTCTTCCTCATCTTCGTATAATTTATTATTTTTTTAATTATATTTTGTATTCGTCTTCATTCTCATTTTTTCCAACTTTTTCTTCATTAGCATTCATCTTTTTCTTTATCTTTTAAATTTTTTTTCCTTTTGGTCTTCTCATCCGCCTCCTTTTTTTTATAATTTTTATCTTATTTTTTATTTTTGTTATTTGCTGGATTTTCTTCTTTCTCTTCTTCTTTCTTCTCTTTCTTTTTTCTATCATTTTCTCCGACAGTTTATTTTGCCATTTTTTTCTCGTCTACTCCTTCTATTTTTATTTTCTTCATCCTCAACTGTATTTATTTTTCTTTTTCTTCCGGTTTTTTATTCACCTTTAAATTTGTTTACGTTTTCTTCCTCGTCTTTTCTTCGTCTTTTCTGACCTCTTCTTTTTTTTCTTCTTTATTTTTCAAATTTTTTCTTCGTTCTTCTCTTATTTTTTGCATTCTTCATCATTTTTATCACATACAACTTCATCTTCTTTTTTTCTCTACCCTCTTATATTTTATTGTCTTCACTTTCTCAAACTTCTAATACTTTCAGTTATTATTTACAATCGTCTACTTTGTCTTTTTCATATTTCTTGAAAGCTTTTGTTGGCTTCACTTCTCCTGAATAAGGGAAATCGCTTGGATACGTATCTATGAGAGAAGTCTACCAGCTGCAATGGCCTCGTCGGTAATATCTTTGAAAGGTCTGAATCAAGCTTCGAGCAAAGCATTCAAATAACGTGATTATATATATCAATAAAAGCAAAGACAATCTCATATCATCAAACAATGAGTATGAGAGACCAAAAACAAATTCTCAGTGAATCTCAAAAGTATGGACGTGTAAATTTGAGTCAAAAGATCCCTTAATACTTATTCTAAATTAAAACAGAATATTATGACAAACAGCAACAAAGAGACTCAAAGATTCTCGATTACAAAGGAGACAAATTGAAAGTTAGTGTTATCGAATTAAACCAAAGAAAGGGAAATATCCGAACATAGATAATACATAGTAGCGAGGCCCAAAAAAGTAACAAAATCTAAATCCAACGATAGTGAAAACAACAAAAGTGTACACACACTTAAAATTTAAGCGAATGTTTTTTCTTGATCATGCCCACGGACCACGTAAGCAATCCAACATTATCTGTTTTTAGATTGGACGTTAAAACAATTAATTTTTTTATTATTGAATTAATTCCAAGCTTTCATGAATTAATGACACATTGACACCAATATATAGATAAAGGAAAGTCATACTTATACCTACATTCATATTAGAAATATTGTTTAGATACAGAAGAAGAAAAACATTAAGAAGCTACGAAGAAAAAGAAAGCAACGGTATGATTAAAGCAAATCGTGTGTACCTACGAAACAATGGCTGGGAATTACTGAGAAGTAGGTTTTTTGTAAGATTTAAACGTTCATTTCTGAACAAAAGCTTCTACAAAAGGGGTTAGGGTTTTTGTAAGAATAAAACGTGGTCGACTAATTATGGGAATTTGTCAGAGGTACTAGCAAACCGTATATATATAGCATAAAGAATTAGGGTATTGACAAACTAAATTAGGTCATAAAACATCGAAAAGTATATATTAGGTCTTCATAAACTCGCCGACCTACCAAACCAAAGTAACTCGACAATACAAAAAAATCTTAAGACAATCCAAGTAGTTAAACCCAAATTATTCATTAAAAATCATTAAAAATAGAAAGGTAAAAAAAATCGTAAAAGTGAATGTGGAAGCAATACCTAAAATTTCTACTTCACAAATAATAAACAAACTTTTTAATTAATTAAGTTTTATCTAGAAGTTCGTTATAATATTTTCTTATTTGCAACATTTTTATGTTTTTCTCCTTTATCGCTTGTTAAATCATCATGTGAGTTGATAGTTCCCCTTGGTTAGATCCACCAATAGGGTTTCCTCTAATTTTCAGCTAATATGAACAAAAACAAATTACTTAGGTCTGCACACAAGATTCTCTTCTTCAAGTTGACAAAGTCCCTTTAGCTGGTTTCGGATTCATGATGTGTGATCAAAAACGAATTTGAACAGACACTATTGGAGGATCGGATCGGACAAGCAGACCTAATAGATTTTTCTACTTGGATAACTTAAAAGAGAACTCACCACATTTCCTAGTGCTACCACGTTTAGGAAAGATTGAGGGTTAGTTTCTGGCACACAACTGGTGATCTTTGCGAACTACTCATCGTTGAATTCGGAGAGTTCATTTGGCAAACAGCTGGTCCAAATGAATCCCTGACGAGCAAGAAAATACACTGTAAAAGGAAATAAAATCATGAACATTGCCATTCTATAGCCAAACCGAAAGTTAGAAACCAAACAATATCGAAAACCTTAACAACAAGATCCCAAAAAGAGAAATATAATCCCAACAAATGTACATAACAGAAATCTCGAATCTGTCCTTCATATCAGTGGAACCCTAAAATATATGTGTGGATACTACGACGAACAAACAGAAACCCTAACTGAAACTCTGAAAGTACGAAGACTTATGGTATATATTGCTTTGAAAACAGTTATTTTGGATTTAGTTCATTCCCTATGGAAAATATGAGTTTGTTTTTTCCGTGTCTTATAACTTTCTTAATTTCTAACTAATAGAATTGTGAATTAACATATAATGAACAATCTATGTGCATATAAATGGTTATTCAGCTAATAAATTAGAAGTTGGTTAAGAAATTAGTATGACATGTTAGGATAAACATGTATTTGAGTTGAAGATGAGTTCTTTGAAACACACAAAACTAGAATTAGATCGATGTCTAATATTAAAGTGGAGCCAGATTTAGCGTTTCACTGAAAACAAGGCAAGAGAAAACGAAAGCAGACTTACCCCTAAGCTTTATCAACGAAATGGAATCAGATGACTAGTTCCTATTCTAGCTAGACCGATGCCCACTGTCTCCGCAACTGGTAGAGATGAACTAAACATCCTTCTTTAAAAGCCTTTCATAATTGGAAGTCAGCCTAGAAATCTTAGCTTGAGTTTTACCTGGATCGGCACCATAAAATAGTAATATTCGAGAATAAAACAAAATATGAAGAAAAAAGATTTTGCTTTCTTCAAAAATAAAATAGTGTCTGTTTGCACCGCCTGCTTGAGATATAAAAAGAGTCCCCCATCAACCTTTGAATGGATCCGCCCACTGTCTCTTCAACTGTTAGAAATGAGTTTGGAACCTAATGGAATGTTCTGGATCGTGTTTTTGGTCATGTGATTGTTGTGTAACTGAACTCCGGTTTGAAAATATTATTTTTTGCTTTTCTTTGGCTTTGTTTTATCAGCAACATATATTACATTTTTTTTTAACAATTTTATAAAACGGTTTGGGTAACTCGCTAATATATATTACTCATCGTTTAGAAATTGTTATTTTTTAACTTATTAAATACTAATATCATAAAAGATTTATAATATCCTCTTTTGAAACGTAAAAATGTAATTAGTTTTTCTCAACATATAAAAAAGTATTTATTAGCTAAACAAATTTTTTTTTTTTGGGTCCAAAGCTAAACAAGCTATTATTCACCATGAGTTTTTACCTCTCAGTCTCTCACATTCACCGATTCACGCCACTGTACCACACAAGTGAACGTGACACATCATTTTTGTGGCTACCTTTGTCTTTACATTCGCATTTTTTCTATCTCATTTTAACATCACCTCTATCTGCACGTGGATCTGCACATGACCAAGTTGTATTCCTTTTTTTTGGTCGAACAAGATAAAATTCCTAAGCACTGGAAAAAATGTCTTTTAACATTAAAAAAAAAAAAGAAATAAAACAACCAACAACAAGAAAAAGACATACTTTATTGAAATTTTCGATTCTCATCTACAAATCCCAATAACTAGACCTTTGTTCAACAAGACTTACAAAATGACTCAACAACCAACCAACAATCCAACATATATTATAAAAATCTATGTATCTAGATATTATTGACATAATTTCAGACACATTACCCAAAAAAGCAAAACAAGTTATAAAGAAGACAACATTCGGATTCTACTGAATATAGCAACGCTGCTGAATCTGCACACTCTCACCTCTTTTAGGTAAAAGACTTGACTCACTCCAATGACTTTAGATCCTAAACACTTCCCCATGAGACTCCTGCTACGATCTAACCTGTTCCACACCACCATCAGAACCTTCCGGCTCAGCCAGCGGGTTACTCGCTCCAACATTGTTGATCCCATTCTCTTCATCCTTGGAGTCACACATGCTCAAAGGTAACTTCTTCACCTTCGCTCTTCCTCTTCTCTTCCCCATTGAGCTACTCGCTTCCCCTGTTTTCTCCTTCATCGCGCCATCGCCCAAGAGCAGCTTCCCGTTTCCTCTGCTTCCGTCGTCTTCGTCGCTCTCCGAATCCACAACACCAGCAACATCATGCCCATCGTACATCGTACTCGTCACCGCACCGGTCGCGACTCTAGGGGAATTGTTTATAGCCCGGTTCAACCTCCGAGCCAAATCCTCGTCTTTCGAATACAAGAGCTGAACCGGGACATGTTTCGTCTGCTTGTTCTTCCTCGGAGACCACTCCTCCTTCACCGTCAGAGCCGGAAAAGAAGCGAGCACCTCCAAAGCCCTCTTGGCTGCAGCTACTGCCCTTGAAGCAATGATGGCCTTCTCATTAGCGGTAGCTCTCGCCGCTTTTGCAGCCTTAGCCGCTAAAGCCGCGATTTCTTTCGACGCCTCAGCTAGCTCCTCCGGAGACCGGCTCTGGCTATCATTCATCAGATTGTGGAGATGGGTCTGCACATCGGTCGAAGCAGAGGAGGAGCCGTTTGAGTATGAAGTGGAGGAGGAGGAACCGAATGAAGGAGGAGGAGGAGGGCTCGGTGAAGATCCATCATTGCCGGATTCCGAGTTCTGTTTCTTGAATCCGGCGAGTAATCGCTTCCGTGGAGGCAGAAGCGAATCGGCGTCGAGGTGGTTCACATCGCAAGCATTCGTCGTCATTTTTCCAGCCAAATCTCTTCCTGATTCAGCTAAAACCCAAAAATCGAAGAACAATATCGCGAATTAATACAAAAACCAGATCGTAAATCAAGGATCAGGATGAAATATTCACAGCTCGATCGAAAAACCAAACGAAATCAGAATGATGAATCGATCTGTAACAATCAAATCTCGACAACAAAGAAACATCTTGCAATCCAGCGAAATCAACACAACTTTATGATCAATATCAACATCCACATCCAAATCATCATTTGATCAATCGAATTATGATAAGAACACATGAAAACAATTAAAAAATCCAGAAAGTTTTCGAATCAAAAGCAGAATTTCTCAATTACAAGGTATATTGATCAAAGATCATTGCTCAACATTCAGAGTACAAGATTCAAATATGAGAGGGGCAGATGAACAAGCTGTTCTGAGTACCTGAGGTGAAATTCAAGCAGATTTGAAGTTATCTTACCATCTCTGTTCTTAGAACAAACAGAGAGACAAGACAGAGGCTAGAGATGAGATAGAGAGATTAGGGTTTTCAGAAGGAGAGAAATGGGAGATAGAGAATGAGATGTTTTGTTCACAATCTCTGATCCACCTTCGGTTTTATATGTAAACCCTACGAATCAATTTTAATTACCTCTTAATTTTTTTATTTTTGCTGTCTAATTTTCTTCCGTTTTCTTTTACATTTAACCTCTATCTCCATGACACACAAAAGTGAAACAGAAAATTAACCAGAGCTTTCTCCGTTTTTATTACACTCCGTCCAACTGTAATAACGGCCGTCATAACTCTCTCTCTTCTTTAACGGAGCCACAATCTAGCATCACATCGACTTTCAAGTTTCAATAACTAGAATTTACAAACATTGTAATTTTAATTTGGTTAAAACTTATTTTTGCGTATAATTATAACTAGATGATTTTCTGCGCTATTAATAATATTTCAGTTTTTATTTATTTATGGTATTTCGTTTAACCGAACTAAAATGAATATTAACAAAATTATTATATTTGAATATAAAGATAAGATTTGCTTTTTTTTTTACTTATAATTAGAACTAGATGATTTCCTGCGCTATTAGTAAAACTTTGACTTTGATTTATTTATGGTATTTAGTTTAACTGAATTAAAACAAATATCAAAAAATTATTATATTTGAAATCAAAGATAAGACTTGCATTTTTATACTTATAATTATAATTAGATAATTTCCCGCGCTATTGGTAAAATTTCAGTTATGATTTATATTTGGTATTTAGTTTAACCGAATTAAAATAAATATCAAAAAATTATTATATTTAAATATAAAGATAAAACTTGCTTTATTTACTTATAACTACAACTAGATGATTTCGCGCGCTATTAGAAAAATTTTGATTTTGATTTATTTATGGTATTCAGTTTAACCTAATCAAAAATTATTATATTTGAATATAAAGATAAGACTTACCTTTTTTTTTACTTATAATTATATTTAGATGATTTTCGCGCTATTGGTAAAATTTCAGTTTTGATTTATATAAGGTATTCAGTTTAACCGAATAAAAATGAATATTAAAAAAATATTATATTTAAATATAAACATAAGACTTACTTTTTTTACTTATAATTATAACTAGATGATTTCCCGCGCTACTGAAAAAAATTGATTTAGATTTATTTATGGTATTCAGTTTAACCGAACTAAAATAAATATCAAAAGAATTATTATATTTTGAATATAAAGATAAGATTTAGTTTTTCTTACTTGTAATTATAATTAGATGATTTTTTGTTCTATTAGTAAAATTTCAGTTTTGGTTTATATATGATATTCAGTTTAACCAAATTAAAATAAATATCAAAAAATTATTATATTTACATACAAAGATAAAACTTGTACTTTTAAGAATAAACGATATTTAAATTATGTATTTAATTTTGCCCAAAAAATTTATGTATTTAATATGATTAAGATGATGTTGTAAGTTATATTTATATGATAGTATGTTGTAATCTAGGGTTTGTTTAGTAATTTGACTATAATTTTCAGTGAAATAATGTTAACAAAATCTCTTATTTATGTAAAATATTTAATATAAAATAACAATATTTATCGCGTCTTATAAGGTTTAATCTACTATGCTTTCGTATGCGATAAAGGTTATTATTTTAAAGAATATGAAAATCAGTTTTTGGATATTTTAGAAAAGAATCTATTAGAAGCTTAATTGGTTGTTATTGTAGATGTTGTGCACATCAATATTTATGTTTACAGCTCTAAATCATACTAGTAATGATTTGTAAACTTTATCTTTTATTTATTTGGTCATAGCCAAATTATTTTATTTTTTATTTTTTTTACTATACAAAGCCTTTTTTTCTAAAGCATATATTTTTATGCTTTCCAAATTTTACAATTTTACTGTCAATAATTATTTTTACAGCTCTAAATCATACCAATTATGGTTTATAAACTTTATCTTTCATTTATTTGCTCATAGAATTTTCTTTTTTTTTTTGCTGTACAAAGCATTTTGTTTCTAAATCATATATTTTTATGCTTTCCAAATTTTACAATTCTAGAGTCAAAGTTTTAAAAATCATACCAATTATGTTTTATAATCTTTATCTTTTATTTATATGCACATAGCCAAATTATTTCCTTTTTATATTTTTTGGCTGTACAAATCATTTTTTCTAAATCATATATTTTTATACTTTCCAAATTTTACAATTCTACTGTCAATAATTATTTTGACAGCTCTAAATTATACCAATTATGGTTTATAAACTTTATCTTTCATTTATTTGCTCATAGCCAAATTCTTTTCTTTTTTTTTGGCTGTACAAAGCATTTTTTTTATAAATCATATATTTTTATGCTTTCCATATTTTACAACTCTAGTGTCAAAGTTTTAAAAATCATACCAATTATGTCTTATAAACTTTATCTTTTATTTATTTGCTCATAGCCAAATTATTTCTTTTTAATATTTTTGGCTGTACAAATCATTTTTTTCTAAATCATATATTTTTATGCTTTCCAAATTTTACAATTCTACTGTCAATAGTTATTTTTACAGCTCTAAATCATACCAATTATGGTTTATAAACTTTATCTTTCATTTATTTGCTCATAACCAAATTCTTTTCTTTTTTTTTGGCTGTACATCTTTTTTCTAAAGCATATATTTTTATGCTTTCCAAATTTTACAATTCTACTGTCAATAATTATTTTTACAGCTCTAAATCATACCAATTATGGTTTATAAACTTTATCTTCTATTTATTTGCTCATAGCCAAATTCTTTTCTTTTTTTTTGGTTGTACATAGCATTTTTTTAAATCATATATTTTTATGCTTTCCAAATTTTACAATTCTAGAGTCAAAGTTTTAAAAAATCATACGAGTTATGGTTTATCAATTTTATCTTTCATTTATTTGCTCATAGCCAAATTATTTCATTTTTTATTTTTTTTTGGCTCTACAAAGCATTTTTTTCTAAATCATTATTTTTATGTTTTCCAAATTTTAGAATTCTACAGTCAAAGTTTTAGAAAATCATACCAATTATGCTTTATAAACTTTATCTTTTATTTATATGCTCATAGCCAAATTATTTCCTTTTTATATTTTTTGGCTGTACAAATCATTTTTTTCTGAATCATATATTTTTATGCTTTCCAAATTTTACAATTCTACAATGAAATTTTTATAGAAATAAAATTTACAGCTACATCAAAAAAACTTACAGCCATATTTCTACAACAAAAATGTAAAGCTACAGCTATTACCAATCAAATCCTAGATTACGAATTGTAGAAGATTTTATGATTATTTTAAAATTTCCAGTTATTCAACTAATGATTTTAAAATGCTTTACCAAATTTTATATTATTCAACATGAAATTTATGTAAAACTATTTAAAACTACTTAAAATCTAGAGTGTATGAAAACTGAAATAAAATATAAAAACAAAACATTTTTAAACTGGAACCGGTATTTTCGAAATAAATATAGGAATGAAAATGTTTTGAAAGAATACATATAATATACAGTCACACACATATATATAAACTAAATATCTAAATAATATTAAAATTAGAATAATTAAATCATCTAAAATACAGTACAATGACTATTAAAAAATTTATCTTAACATAAAAAATTATAATGTTTAAAGTAAAAAATTTAGAAGAATTTTTTCAACATAAATTTTATTAGCTCCATTTACCATATAATTATAATCTAATTCTAATTGATCGAGAGAGAGAAAGATTTTCAAATTCAAAAATACCAATATGAATCTCATCTAATAAATCAATATAATTATTAACTTATTATAATGAATTAAAGTAATTGTTAATTTATATAAAAATGATTTTGACCACTTAATCTCACTTTTATAATTGTTAATTTATTTATTACAAAAAAATAAAAGTAAGTTTTTATAATGATTTCCAAAATAAAAACGTCATCTTAATTATCTTAAAAAATAAAATAATTTGGCTATGACCAAATAAATGAAAGATAAAGTTTACAAAGCATTACTAGTATGATTTAAAGCTGTAAACATAAATATTGATGTGGACAACATCTACAATAACAACCAATTAAGCTTCTAATAGATTCTTTTCTAAAATATCCAAAAACCGATTTTCATATTCTTTAAAATAAACGATATTTAAATTATGTATTTAATTTTGCCCAAAAGAATTATGTATTTAATATGATTAAGATGATGTTGTAAGTTATATTTATATGATAGTATGTTGTAATCTAGGGTTTGTTTAGTATTGACTATAATTTTCAATGAAATAATGTTAACAAAATCTCTTATTTATGTAAAATGTTTAATATAAAATAACAATATTTATCGCGTCTTATAAGGTTTAATCTACTATGCTTTCATATGCGATAAAGGTTGTTATTTTAAAGAATATGAAAATCAGTTTTTGGATATTTTAGAAAAGAATCTATTAGAAGCTTAATTGGTTGTTATTGTAGATGTTG